TGTCCTCAACGACTGGTATCACTACGACAATTACAAATGCACGAGAAGACATAAAGAATGCAGATGGTACTATTACAGAACTTTGCAAAAGCCTTCGTCCAATGTGACCCCATGCGTAATAGCGCACAAAATCCGGTAAAGGATTAACAGGAAAGTCGGTCCGAGAGCTAAAATTTCCTCCTCACGAACAGAACACAAGAGTAGTCCGTCAACAGAGTAAAGACCGAGGCAGGCTACGGTGAAAAGCTCTGTTCCAACATGCACATTACAGCTCCCAGCTTGTTTCCGCAGCCTCATATCCGACAGAAGACAAGGGGTCAGCCACAGCACACCGTGTCTTCCTTTGCAGATGACACCCGAATCTGCATGACAGTGTCGTTCCGTTGCAGACACTGCAACTCCAGCGGACATCAAACCAAATCTTTCAGTGGGCTGCAGAAAACAATATGATGTTCTACGATGAGAAATTTCAATTACTCAGATATGGTAAACATGAGGAAATTAAATCTTCATCAGAGTACAAAACAAATTCTGGTCACAAAATAGAGCGAAACACCAACGTCAAAGACCTGGGAGTGATTATGTCGGAGGATCTCACCTTCAAGGACCATAACATTGTATCAATCGCATCTGCTGGGAAAAATGACAGGATGGATAATGAGAACCTTCAAAACTAGGGAGGCCAAGCCCATGATGACACTCTTCAGGTCACTTGTTCTATCTAGGCTGGAATTGCTGCACTCTAACAGCACCTTTCAAGGCAGGTGAAATTGCCGACCTAAAATTGTACCGAGGGAACTTTCACGGCGCGCATAACGGAGATAAAACACCTCAATTACTGGGAGCGCTTGAGGTTTCTAAACCTGTATTCCCTGGAACGCAGGAGGGAGAGATACATGATTATATACACCTGGAAAATCCTAGAGGGACTAGTACCGAACTTGCACACGAAAATCACTCACATACGAAAGCAAAAGACTTGGCAGACGATGCACCATCCCCCCAATGAAAAGCAGGGTGTCACTAGCACGTTAAGAGACCATACAATAAGTGTCAGGGGCCCGAGACTGTTCAACTGCCTCCCAGCACACATAAGGGGGATTACCAACAGACCCCTGGCAGTCTTCAAGCTGGCACTGGACAAGCACCTAAAGTCAGTTCCTGATCAGCCGGGCTGTGGCTCGTACGTTGGTTTGCGTGCAGCCAGCAGCAACAGCCTGGTTGATCAGGCGCTGATCCACCAGGAGGCCTGGTCACAGACCGGGCCGCGGGGGCGTTGACCCCCGAAACTCTCTCCAGGTAAACTCCAGGTCCGGCATTACCAAACCACCGACACCAATTACCAACATGCCAAAGACCAATTAAAGGACACGTTTGGCAACACTGAGGAGATAAAGGTAGCTATACTTTATCGGTTGTTGGATCTAGAGGCTTGTCGCCATGACCTTCAGAGCCTAGAGAAGTTCCGAATTGAAGTTATGAGTTTGACGAATAGTCTTAAAGATTTACATGATTGGGGTAAGTCGGAATGGTTCATCAGTCAGGTGATTCAGAGGAAACTGGCTGGCACTACAGTGCATGAGTTACACTTAAAATATCGGACGAATAGGTTCATGATAAAACAAATTGTTGAGAGGTTGGGAGATCTCGTTTCTCATTTGAGTATAGGTTTGAGAGAAGAGTCAGCACCATCGCCACATAAAAACCCAGAAAGTTGCTCAAAGATCTCGAGAGATCAGTCTAAAGCTCGTACGACTAACGTTGGAGTGTACTATGGTAAAGAGGTGTCTAAGGTAAGAACCTCTAAGCAGAACCTCAGAGGCACTCATGCCAGAATATGCGTGTTCTGCGAAGGCGAACACGCTAGCACGAGTTGCTCGGAGTATATAGCACTGAGCAGTAGGCAGCAGAGACTAAGGGAGTTGAGACTGCTTCAAGTGTTGTGGGGAACACTTTGCGAGAGACTGTGGCACCCAGCTCAGTGAGTGTCGAGTCTGTTGCAAAGGTAAGCACCATACTGCACTATGTCCCAATAATTTAAGGGAACCCCAGGCTAGTAGGGATATCTCTCAGGCAGAGATAGAAAGTGAGTCCGAACCTGAAATGGTAGCCAGCGTGATTAGTGGGTTTTCCGAGTGAGAATCACGGAGGTGCTGCCCTACCTACAGTCATGGCAAAGGTTGTGAATGGGCACAGGTCCGAAACAACCCGATTATTCTTTGACCCAGGAGCACAAGTATCCTTGATAACAAAAAAGTTGGTGGCTAAATTAAAGTTGAAGGCCACAAAGAAAGTTAGTATGATGTTGGGAGGGGCTATAAGTCAGGTCCCACCCAAATCTTATGATGTGGTGGATGTCACAGTCAAATTAGGTGGACATCGCAGATACATTACAGCCTTGGTGGTAGAGACATTACCCAGGGCAATTACAGCGAGAGATCTTGCTGCAGCAGCTAAGCGATTGAAAGACCTTGATGTGAAGCTGGCAGACCAGGGAATTACCACTGACACAGTCAGAAATGTAGGTATCCTGGTGGGAGCCAATCATATAGATGACTTCCTGTCTACACGACGGAAGTTTAAGGCGGCAGGATTCCACCTGAATTCCCTGCCACGCCAGATAGAGGAGAAGCTGTCCCCATGATAGCTGGGGGAGTAGTGATAATGAATACCAGTATACAAGATGAACCGCCAGGGAAGCTGAACCAGGTAGGTAGTGACGAACACTCGGCCACCTTGGGAAAACACTTTTACAGGGTATGTAAAGAGGGAGATAGATTGCCATTAAATCTAGGGAACCTCGTAACAGTGGGAGGAAAGGACTATCAGGGCATGTGGGCCACTGGGTAGGAAAGTATGGAGCCACTCAGTCAAGGCTAGACATACGAAAGACGTTAAAGTTAAAGGAAAGGGTGCTAAGACCACCGGAACCAACAAGTTTACACCCCCAGAGGTCCACACAGGGGAAACTGGACGGTTGAAGTTAGACCGGAGTCTGCTTGACGAGAGTGGCTGGACGGCACTCGTGTCCAGGGTCCACCGTGGGGGCTCGCGGAAGGTGAACTTGATTTAGACTTAGCGCCTACCTTCGACAGTGGGAGGCTGTGGAAATTTATTTTGTCCCTAAAGTTCCACAGGACAGATCCGGCATGGCCGTAATGGAACGACTGAGCTGGGTGGCCCTTAAACCCACCCAAACAAAAAGCGTTCTCCCCAAACATAAACACATTTCTCTCCCCGGGGGTGGCGTGGATGGTAGGCACTTATTTATTTATAGATTTACCCTTCAGGTAAGTCGTAGGTAGTTTTACTGTTAGTATATTAATATTAGGTTTACTAAGGCAACTGTAGATAATAATAATGTAGACCTAAGATCTTAACATAGGTAGTAATAGGCCGATAATGTAGGCAAACACTAGGATAAGTTAGCTAGGGAAAACTGGCAGCCCTAGTTTTGAATGAAGAGACGAGGGTCTGGAAGAGAGACCAGCTCGTTCTTAAGACAGACACCAACTGGACAAGACGTGCCGTGTTCAGCAGACGGCGCCCCCCACGTGTCTTCACATTTGAGACCTAGGGAAATCTGGTAGAGGCACCTCGATGTACCGTAGATGACCTCCGTCAGGCCCATACAGTAAGACAAGACCTCCACTTTATCTCGTAGATTTCTGGCCAGTGTCTGGGGAGAATTGTGAGTGAGTTTGATCTGTTGGCCCGGTGTGAAGCAGGCAGTGCATGCCCAGTAAGTACCAGTGTCTCTTGGCAGTCTGGAAGCTAGTGTCTGTGTCTGCATCGTTATACTAGGGGATACATACCCTCTTGGATATAGGAATTTCTGAGGTGCAGGCAGGCCACTAATAACGATTGAATATTGCAGGAATTAAGGCTCCCGGTTGTACGAGGTTTCTGAGGGGAAGTCCAAAGGGGCTAAGGCTAAGCTTAGGGAAGTTGAAGAACAGGATATATGCTGCAACACCAAGTAAGTTAGTCCTTTATACGTGCATGCAGGCGAGTTTCTTGCAACATCAATCATTTGTGAAAATCTGTCCTATAAGCCACTTGTGAGGCTGAGGTACCCATCTCAGAGCTTAGTGTCAACAGAGTTTGCCAGGGTAGGCGACTCACTTGGAGGCAGTCCACACAAATTTTCACAAACATTATACTGCAATATAAACCCTCCTCTCAAACTTCTTGATAGCTACAACAGAACACACAGGCACAAAACTATCTTCGACATATCTGTTGTCCATCTCACCCTATGCAAAAATGCAATTCATGAAAAACCATACCACGGGTGGGGATTAAACTCGTGGCGAGTGTCATTATTTTTCTGTGAGTCATGCAATGCATATAAAGGGCCCCAAGATCCCCTGTCTGCCAACCAATTTATAACTATAATTAAAAATCACCACATCTCCCAGACGTAATTGTACCAACACTATGCTATACCAAACACGACTAACTACTTCTGTTACTTCATCATCTTTTATATAATCTTTCCTAGCCTAAAATCATAGAACCAGTTAAACTACTCAAGAAATTCCTGTTAACTTAAGATCACTAAATACGTTTAAAGCATTAATATACACCAGAAATTTTACAATTGTAAATTGTAGTAATATTAACATTTTTACTACCTCTATACTATAAATTTTTCTAATTATATTTTTTTACTAGTTCTTTTTTGTGATAATTCACAAATAAAATCTATCACTCCATAGCTTATGTCTAGTTTTAAGTAGTGTATAAGTATTAGGATTAGTCTGCCCGAAATGCCCATGCATGCTGGTGGCTTTCTTTGTTCTTAACAATACTTTGTTACATGTAAACTACAATTTGTATACTACACGAAGAAATTAAAATTTTAAATTTAGAATTTTTACCTACTAGCCAAGATGTGAGAGGAATATATTTTCCCGGACTCCCGAGGATGAGAGAGATCAGGGTTCAATAAGGTTAGAGCTTTGGTGGTCTTTAACAACCATAACAACAATATAACGATGGTGGTCGGAGTGAGCAGGTTGTTCACCAGTAAGGTGTTTCGGGTGAGCATTGATTGATTAATTTACGGCATAAGCTGTTAGTGGTCCTGATAAACCCTACAAAGAAAGGGAGATTGTATAATTATTGTAATACACTTAGTGACCGGTCCAGGTGATGGGTTTGATTGGTCCAAGTGATGGGTTTGGTCCAAGTGATGGGTTTGATTGGTCCAAGTGGTGGACTTGATTGGTCCAAGTGATGGACTTGATTGGTCCAAGTGGTGGTGATGGTCCAACTTGGATTGATTGGTCCATATGGTTTGATGGCCAAGTGGTGATTGGTCCAAGTGATGGGTTTGATTGGTCCAAGTGGTGGACTTGATTGGTCCAAGTGATGGGTTTGTTTGGTCCAAGTGATGGGTTTGATTGGTCCAAGTGGTGGACTTGATTGGTCCAAGTGATGGGTTTGATTGGTCCAAGTGGTGGACTTGATTGGTCCAAGTGATGGGTTTGATTGGTCCAAGTGGTGGATTTGATTGGTCCAAGTGATGGGTTTGATTGGTCCAAGTGATGGGTTTGATTGGTCCAAGTGATGGGTTTGTTTGGTCCCAGTGATGGGTTTGATGGTCAAGTGGTGGACTTGATTGGTCCAAGTGATGGGTTTGGTTGGTCCAAATGATGGGTTTGATTGGTCCAAATGGTGGGTTTGACTGATTGGTCCAAGTGATGGGTTTGATTGGTCCAAGTGATGGGTTTGATTGGTCCAAGTGGTGGAATTGGTTGGTCCAAGTGATGGGTTTGGTTGGTCCAGGTGATGGGTTTGAATGGTCCAAGTGGTGGATTTGATTGGTCCAAGTGATGGGTTTGATTGGTCCAAGTGATGGGTTTGATTGGTCCAAGTGGTGGACTTGATTGGTCCAAGTGATGGGTTTGATTGGTCCAAGTGATGGGTTTGATTGGTCCAAGTGGTGGGTTTGATTGGTCCAAGTGATGGGTTTGATTGGTCCAAGTGATGGGTTTGACTGATTGGTCCAAGTGGTGGACTTGATTGGTCCAAGTGATGGGTTTGTTGGTCCAAGTGATGGGTTTGATTGGTCCAAGTGATGGGTTTGATTGGTCCAAGTGATGGGTTTGATTGGTCCAAGTGGTGGACTTGATTGGTCCAAGTGATGGGTTTGGTTGGTCCAAATGATGGGTTTGATTGGTCCAAGTGTGGGTTTGACTGATTGGTCCAAGTGATGGGTTTGATTGGTCCAAGTGATGGGTTTGATTGGTCCAAGTGATGGGTTTGATTGGTCCAAGTGGTGGGCTTGATTGGTCCAAGTGATGGGTTTGTTGGTCCAGTGATGGTTTGATTGGTCCAAGTGGTGGTTTGATTGGTCCAAGTGATGGGTTTTGATTGGTCCAAGTGATGGGTTTGATTGGTCCAAGTGATGGGTTTGATTGGTCCAAGTGGTGGACTTGATTGGTCCAAGTGATGGGTTTGGTTGGTCCAAAGTGTGATGGGGTTTGATTGGTCCAAGTGGTGGATTTGATTGGTCCAAGTGATGGGTTGATTGGTCCAAGTGATGGGTTTGATTGGTCCAAGTGATGGGTTGTGTTTGGTCCAAGTGATGGGTTTTGATTGGTCCAATGTGGGCTGTTGGTCCAATGTGGTTTGATTGGTCCAAGATGATGGGTTTGATTGGTCCAAGTGTGGTTTGATTGGTCCAAGTGGATGGGTTTGATTGGTCCAGGAGGTGTTAGGTCCAAGGAGGGTTGATTGGTCCAAGTGATGGGTTTGATTGGTCCAAGTGATGGGTTTGATTGGTCCAAGTGATGGGTTGTGATTGGTCCAAGTGATGGTTTGATTGGTCCAAGTGTGGGATTGATTGGTCCAAGTGATGGGTTTGTTGGTCCAAGTGTGGATTGATTGGTCCAAATGATGGGTTGATTGGTCCAAGTGTGGTTTGATTGGTCCAAGTGATGGGTTTGATTGGTCCAAGTGGTGGATTTGATTGGTCCAAGTGATGGGTTTGATTGGTCCAAGTGATGGGTTTGATTGGTCCAAGTGATGGGTTTGATTGGTCCAGAGTGATGGGTTTTGATTGGTCCAAGTATGGTGTTGGTCCATGGGGTTAGATTGGTCCAAGTGATGGGTTTGATTGGTCCAAATGATGGGTTTGATTGGTCCAAATGGTGGTTGATGGTCCAATGGTTGATTGGTCCAAATGATGGGTTTGATTGGTCCAAGTGATGGGTTTGATTGGTCCAAGTGATGGGTTTGATTGATCCAAGTGGTGGATTTGATTGGTCCAAGTGATGGGTTTGATTGGTCCAAGTGATGGGTTTGATTGGTCCAAGTGGTGGATTTGATTGGTCCAAGTGATGGGTTTGATTGGTCCAAATGATGGGCTTGATTGGTCCAAATGGTGGGTTTTGTCAGTGGATTGGTCCAAGTGATGGGTTTGATTGGTCCAAGTGGTGGGCTTGATTGGTCCAAATGGTGGGTTTGACTGATTGGTCCAAGTGATGGGTTTGATTGGTCCAAGTGATGGGTTTGATTGGTCCAAGTGATGGGTTTGACTGATTGGTCCAAGTGATGGGTTTGATTGGTCCAAGTGGTGGACTTGATTGGTCCAAGTGATGGGTTTGGTTGGTCCAAGTGGTGGACTTGATTGGTCCAAGTGATGGGTTTGGTTGGTCCAAGTGGTGGATTTGATTGGTCCAAGTGATGGGTTTGATTGGTCCAAGTGATGGGTTTGATTGGTCCAAGTGATGGGTTTGATTGGTCCAAGTGGTGGGCTTGATTGGTCCAAGTGATGGGTTTGATTGGTCCAGGTGATGGGTTTGATTGGTCCAAGTGGTGGATTTGATTGGTCCAAGTGATGGGTTTGATTGGTCCAAATGATGGGTTTGATTGGTCCAAGTGATGGATTTGATTGGTCCAAATGATGGGTTTGATTGGTCCAGTGGATAGGGGTTTGATTGGTCCAAGTGATGGGTTTGATTGTCCAAGTGGTGGATTTGATTGGTCCAAGTGATGGGTTTGATTGGTCCAAGTGATGGGTTTGATTGGTCCAAGTGGTGGATTTGATTGGTCCAAGTGATGGGTTTGATTGGTCCAAATGATGGGCTTGATTGGTCCAAATGGTGGGTTTGACTGATTGGTCCAAGTGATGGGTTTGATTGGTCCAAGTGGTGGGCTTGATTGGTCCAAGTGATGGGTTTGATTGGTCCAGGTGATGGGTTTGATTGATCCAGGTGATGGGTTTGATTGGTCCAAGTGGTGGGTTTGATTGGTTCAAGTGTTGGACTGGGTTGTGAATTGGTCAAGTGGTGGGTTTGATTGGTCCAGATGGTGGGTTTGTGTCAGGTGTGGATTGATTGGGCAAGTGGGGGATGACTGCTCAGTGGTGGGTTGATTGGTCCAGTGGTGGGTTTGATTGGTCAATGGTGGATGGTGTTTGATTGGTCATGTGGGGTTCTGATGTAGGTGTGGGTTGATTGGTCAGATGGTGGGTTTGATGGTTCCAGTGGTGGGTTTGATTGGTCCAGGGGTGATGGGTTTGATTGGTCCAGTGTGAATGGGTTTTTGATTGGTCAGTGTGGTGGGTTGTGTTGCTGGTTCAATTGGTGGGTTTGATTGGTCCAAGTGGTGGGTTTGATTGGTCCAGGTGATGGGTTTGGTTGGTCCAAGTGATTGGTTTGATTGGTGGATATGGTTCAGATGGTGGATTTGACTGGTTCAGATGCTGAATCTGACTGGTTCAGATGGTGGGTTTGATTAGTTCAGGTGGTGGGTATGACTGGTTCAGATGGTGGATATGGCTCAGATGGTGGGTTTGACTGACTGGTTTAGGTGGTGAATGTGACTGCTTCAGATAGTGGGTTTGACTGGTTCAGAGGTGGGTTTGACTGGTTCAGGTGGTGGATCTGGTTCAGATGGTGGGGTTGACTGACTGGCTCAGGTGGTAGGTTTGACTGACTGGTTCAGGTGGTGGGTTTGAGTAGTTCAGATGGTGGGTCTGACTGGTTCAGGTTGTGGATCTGGTTCTTATGGTGGGGTTGACTGACCGGTTTAGGTAGTGGGTCTGGCTGGTTCAGATGGTGGGTCTGACTGGTTCAGGTGGGGGTTTGACTGATTCAGATGGTGGGTTTGACTGGTTCAGATGGTGGATCTGACTGGTTCAGGTGGTGGATCTGGTTCAGATGGTGGGGGTTGACTGATGGGTTAGGTGGTGGTGTTTGGCTGGTTTCGGTGGTAGAGCTACTTGAAACTGGTTCAGATGGTGGGTGTGACTGGTTCAGATGGTGGGTTTGACTGACTGGTTCAGGTGGTAGGTTTGACTGACTGGTTCAGGTGGTAGGTTTGACTGACTGGTTCATGTGGTAGGTTTGACTGACTGGTTTAGGGTGGTTTGATGTTCAGATGTGGACTGGTTCAAATGGTGGGTTTGACTGGTTCAGGTGGTGGATGTGGTTCTTATGGTGGGTTTGACTGGTTCAGGTGGTGGATCTCGTTCTTATGGTGGGTTTGACCGGTTTAGATGGTGGAGTTGACTGACTGGTTTAAGTAGTGGGTCTGACTGGTTCAGATGGTGGGTTTGACTGGTTCAGATGGCGGGTTTGACTGGTTCAGATGGTGGGTTTGACTGGTTCAGATGGCGGGTTTGACTGGTTCAGGTGGTGGGTTTGACGGACTGGTTTAGGTGGTGGGTTTGACTGGTTTAGGTGGTGAGTTTGACTGACTGGTTCAGGTGGTAGGTTTGACTGACTGGTTCAAGTGGTGGGTTTTGACTGACTGGTTCAAGTGGTGGGTTTGACTGGTTCAGATGCTGGATCTGACTGGTTCAGATGCTGGATCTGACTGGTTCAGATGATGGGTTTGACTAGTTCAGATGGTGGGTTTGACTGACTGGATTAGGTGGTGGGTCTGACTGGTTTAGGTGGTGGGTTTGATTAGTTCAGATGGTGGATCTGGTTCAGATGGTGGGTTTGACTGGTTCAGATGGTGGGTTTGACTGGTTCAGGTGGTAGGTTTGACCGATTGGTTCAGGTGGTGGGTTTGACTGACTAACACAATTAACACATCAACCATTTCCCACCAAGGCCGGGTGATCCGAAAAAGAAGAAACTTTCATCATTTATTCCATCACTGTCTTGCCAGAGGCGTGCCTACATGTGGTGGGTTTGACTGGTTCAGGTGGTGGATCTGGTTCAGATGGTGGGTTTGACTGGTTCAGATGGTGGGTTTGACTGACTGGATTAGGTGGTGGGTCTGACTGGTTTAGGTGGTGGGTTTGATTAGTTCAGATGGTGGATCTGGTTCAGATGGTGGGTTTGACTGGTTCAGGTGATAGGTTTGACTGATTGGCTCAGGTGGTGGGTTTGACTGACTGGTTCGGGTGGTGGGTTTGAGTGGTTCAGATGGTGGGTTTGACTGATTCAGATGGTGGGTTTGACTGGTTCAGGTGGTGGATCTGGTTCAGATGGTGGGTTTGACTGGTTCAGATGGTGGGTTTGACTGGATTAGGTGGTGGGTCTGACTGGTTTAGGTTGTGGGTTTGACTGGTTCAGATGGTGGGTTTGACTGGTTCATGAATGATGGACTGAACACATCGACTCCAGGCTGAGGGACTGATTACCTCAAACTCCTCCTCTCCTTACACCTTTCTACTTTGTATTGGAGTGATGAAGCCACTGTGTGGCGAAATGTTTCCTGAATAAAGAATCCCATATGTTGCATAAGTGTCTCAATCTTTGACTGGTTCAGATGGTGGGTTTGACTGGTTCAGATGGTGGCTTTGACTGGTTCAAGTGTTGGGTTTGATTTGACAATAAATATGACTTTATTTCCAAAATACTACGTATGTACATTAGAATTACAACGGTAGGTAACATTATATTTCTTACAATAAAAGTTCATAGTTATGAAAAGAAGTTTAGGTACAAAAAATAGAAAACTAAAAATATATTAGATGTGCACACATATGTATATATGTGGTACTTCGAATTTCGAACAGCTACCAACTCAAACGATTATGTAAGTTTATTTTTGTAAGTGCTTTTGTAAGTGTATTTTTTGGAGTCTGAAATGGACTAATCTAATTTACATTATTCCTTATGGGAACAAATTCATTCGGTAACAGCACTCGAACAGCCTTCTGGAACAAATTTCAGCCGATATTCGAGGTACCACTGTACTCTGTATGTAACATAATCTAATTGTATAAAATTACATAATATTGTAATACGAATCTCAGTGACAACTGAGCATTTGTTGAAAAGTTTAAATTAAATTTTAATGTTAAGTTCAAATTTAACTTCAAGAAAGTTTAAAATAAGAAAAAAGGAGTAATGATGTGATAATGGTTGGAGTTGTGATTAAATTGAAAAAAATATGGAACTGTATTGAGTTTTCAGATGAGTCTTGGATTCTCAGTCACAAAAGATATTTGTTTTTCCTATTTCAAAATCCTTTTCTTGCTAGCACCTAACATATCTTTACTTCACACAAATGATACCAATTTAAAAATATTTTTTTCCAGAAAAAAATACATGATATCTTAAAAGTTGGCATTGGTGGGACGCTAGCTTTTGGTGGCATCAGCATCTACTTTAAAAATGAGAAGTTCTATGATCTCACTGGTTATGCCTATGTTGCACAAGCTGGAGCCTGAAACAGCTCACAATGTAGCAGTGATGGCAGCCAAATATAACCTGGTCCCTGAGGTGAATCTCAAGGAGTCAGAACTACTGGTTAGTAATAATACATCTGATTATACACCCATATTAGGTGCTAATGCATCTAGGTGTGACAAGAGTATATAATAGATTCGGGGATGAATTGCCTTATGTATAACACAATTTGAGCCATGTAAGGCATAATTTCAGAAACTTTAATACAAAAGTTAAGAACTCAGTCATTGTTTTGGAAAGTGTAGTGAGTATGCTTAGACAGGTGTTTCGTAAGTAATACTGTATTTGTTTAACCCTTAAACTGTCCACACGTAGATATACGTTGATGTGAGGCAGGTTCTGAACGTAGATCATTTTATTTTTCATTCCTTCAAATTTGGTGCGATAGGCCTAAGTCGCCCAGACATGAAAGAATGGGTCTGTGCACTCAGTGTGTGCACTATGAAAAAATCGGGGACTACTTAGTACCTTGTGGGAGCACCAGTTCAACTGAGTGCCAGCTAGAGCAAATACCGTGGCAAACACCAAGGATTCACTGCTGTCATGTCAAATTAACGCCCACATTTTAAGAGGAAAGTAAAAATAGGTTAGATAAATGCATGAGTGAGTGTGGGTGGGTGTGAGTTGGACCTGACTAGTTGTACTACTAGGTCAGATGTTGTGCTCCTTCTTTCAGTGAATGTGACCTGACTAGGTGGATCATTGGTCTAAGCTGGGGGGTGACATGGACTTGCTTTGCATGGGCCAGTAGGCCTGCTGCAGTGTTCCTTCTTTCTTATGTTCTTATGTATTCAGCTGGCTAGCTGGCTGGCTGGCTTTGGCTGTCTCTGTCTGTATCTGTATATATATCTGTCTGTCTATATCTCTGTCTATATCACTGTCTGTTTGTATCTCTGTCTATATCTCTGTCTCTCACATATACTCATAAATACAGTTATTATACATAGTGTAAATTACCTAGGATAACCCAAAAATTCCAGGCCAAGTGCTATACAGTGTTTGTAGATTTTTTTTTTTTTTTTTTTTTCAACAAGTCGGCCGTCTCCCACCGAGGCAGGGTGACCCAAAAAAGAAAGAAAATCCCCAAAAAGAAAATACTTTCATCATCATTCAACACTTTCACCACACTTACACATTATCACTGTTTTTGCAGCAATCAGGGAGCGGCCCATACACGACAAACCAACAGGTTTACTAGCCGCTCCCTGAGACAGAGACAAGCAGATGGAAAGACAGATACACACAGGCAGACAGAAAGACAGATAAGCAGAACTAGACAGACAGACAGATAGATGTACAGATAGATAGATGTACAGATAGACAGCCAGATAGATGTGTCATGTGGGTTCGATAACGTGAATGGGGTAAAAACACTCACGTAGGCTGGTTAGTACATATAATTATAACGGAAAGTATGGGAAGCACCATCAGCCGCCCTGCCTCTCTTTGCTCTCTATTTCAGACTGACCCACCAGTGCCTACGGGGTGAGTGGCGTTCAAAAACATGCTATGGTCAGCAGCAACATGAATAGCAGTCAGTGATTCACACAGACGGTTGGTAGTGAGTCATACTACTGGTAACTGGTTACTGGTAACTGGTACTACTGAGAGCTCGGCGACGCTAACGTATGTCGTCCCGACATACAGCTAATACAAACTAGAGATGGCAGGCGTACGTCTTGGGCTGATTCTATACAATGTCAAAGTACACAACAATTGAACATTATAACATACATAAGTAGAATATTGGAATGGAAGCTACAGATAGACAGATGTACAGATAGACAGATAATGTACACATAAACAGATAGATGTGCAGATAGACAGACAGATGTACAGATAGACACAGATAGATGTGCAGATAGACAGACAGATAGATGTACAGATAGACAGACAGATAGATGTGCAGATAGTCAGATAGATGTACAGATAGACAGACTGATAGACAGAGGCATGTTTGTGTGCAAGAGTAAAAACATATAAAGGCAAGGTTCCCCCCTCCAGCAGTGCACATTCATCAAATGTCACTGTTATCTAATGCTGTCATAACACCATTATTCAAGGAGCTCATATTACACTCCAGGCACACACAGAAGACAGAAAGACAGGTAAGCTGAACTGGACAGACAGTTAAGCAGAACTAGGTGGACAGACAGATAGACAGACAGATAGATGTACAGATAGACAGATGTACAGATAGATAGGCAGATGTACAGATAGACAGATAAATGTACAGATAGACAGATGTATAGATAGACAGGCAGACAGATAGTCAGGCAAACAGATAGACTGACAGACAGATATACAAAGACACGTTTGTGTGCAAGAATAAAAACATATAAAGGCAAGGTTCCCTCCAGCAGAGCACATTCATCAAATGTCACTTATCTGACCCTTGTCATAACAACATGCTTCAAGGAGGTTTATACTCCAGCATGTCTAAAACATTGCTGGGATCTATAAATACTTCGTATATATTTCTAGACAATAGTAAATGACCAGGGCAGGTAAAAATGTTCACCTGTCAGTGTGATTGTTACAATTTGAGTACTATTTCAGTACATAATATTAGTGTCAGAACAAAGATTGGCTATGAAATCACAAGAACTATTATAAGTTGTAATTATCAAACACCAAAATTATATAAATTAAAATAAAAATGAGAAAAAAAGGTAAATCGGCAACACTTCTGCAAGCAGCAGGACTGGATGTTGCCATTAGGTGAGCATCCAGAGCCAACTTCATGGTCTTATATCTTGGCAAGTACTGGTCCTAAAAAAATTATTTTTTTGGTTTTATACCACAGAAAATACTCATCTTTAATTTAAAAAAAAAATTGTTTTTCAAAATATTCGGAGCACCACGCAGGTGAACGTAGATCTACGTTTGGACAGTTTAAGGGTTAAATAAATAAAAGGTAAATGAGCACATGAAGTATAACACAGTACAGCACAATACAGTGGAACCTCGGATTACAAACTTAATCTGTTCTGTGACCTTGTTCGTATCCTGATTTGTTCGTACGCTGAGTCAATTTTCCTCATTTAAATTAATTGAAATACAATTAATTTGTTCCAGCCTCTCAAGAGACATGACAAAATAATGCTAATATCAACTCTACAGCTTAGTTATCTATCACAATTCATATAATATGACATAAATAATATTAATAACATTGAAACATAATATATACTCTGTAATGAATAAAATAGGCCATATAATGACGAGTGATGGCAATGCCGGCAGCAGCATCCTGCCGCCATTTACTCTCCCACTTTAGTATCTTCCCAGTCCATAACCCCACACCTAGTGTCTTCCATTGCAGACACTGCAAGGCTCCTGGCGGACATCAACCAAATCTTTCAGTGGGCTGCAGAAAACAATATGAAGTTCAACAATGAGAAATTTCAGTTACTCAGATATGGTAAACACGAGGAAATTAAATCTTCATTAGAGTACAAAACAAATTCTGGCCACAAAATAGAGCGAAACACCAACGTCAAAGACCTGGGAGTGATCATGTCGGAGGATCTCACCTTCAAGGACCGTAACATTGTATCAAACGCAGCTGCTAGAAAAATGACAGGATGGATAATGAGAGCCTTCAAAACTAGGGATGCCAAGCCCATGATGACACTCTTCAGGTCACTTGTTCTATCTAGGCTGGATTATTGCTGCACACTAACAGCACCTTTCAAGGCAGGTGAAATTGCTGACCTAGAAAATGTACAGAGAACCTTCACGGCGTGCATAACGGAGATAAAACACCTCAGTTACTGGGAACGCTTGAAGTTCCTGAACCTGTATTCCCTGGAACACAGGCGGGAGAGATACATGATTATGTACACCTGGAAAATCCTAGAGGGACTAGTACCGAACTTGCACACGAAAATCACTCACAACGAAAGCAAAAGACTTGGCAGACGATGCAACATCCCCCCAATGAAAAGCAGGGGTGTCACTAGCACGTTAAGAGACCATACAATAAGTGTCAGGGGCCCGAGACTGTTCAACTGCCTCCCAGCATACATAAGGGGGATTACCAATAGGCCCCTGGCAGTCTTCAAGCTGGCACTGGACAAGCACCTAAAGTCGGTACCTGACCAGCTGGGCTGTGGCTCGTACGTTGGTTTGCGTGCAGCCAGCAGTAACAGCCTGGTTGATCAGGCTCTGATCCACCAGGAGGCCTGGTCACAGACTGGGCCGCGGGGGCATTGACCCCCGGAACTCTCTCCAGGTAAACTCCAGGTAGCTTGTGTTTATGTATGATTAGTGGTGAGGTCGTCACATATGTAACCACAGGTGTGGTCAAGACAGATGTATATATAGGTGAAGACGTGATCACTGTGGCCACAGTGGTGGTGGTCAGCTGCCCCACTCTCTGCTGTTACCTTCTTCGTTTCTCTAGCTTTTTTCATAGTTTCTAATTGCTTTCTGAGCTTCTTGCTGATTGTACACGACTACTGTCTCTTTGAGTGAGGCATTGTGTAAGAAATTTGTACAATATAAGACAAAATTACGCATCCCAAGGGTCTGCTGTGGTCACTCAGAGCGGCTCACCTCCCCTTCCTTTTGACCCTTGGTTGGCACTGAGATAGCCATGGTCTAGCAGAACCTACAGCCACCCAGAGGGTTACCAATTTGTATTTTGAAGCATTTGGCACAGAAATATGAAAAAAAAATTACGAAAAATGTCTAAAAATGACAACATAATAATATTATTATTATTATTATTATTATTATTGTTATTATTACATTGTATTATTATTATTATTATTGTTGTTATTATTTTTTATATTATTTTTTATTATCACACTGGCCAATTCCCACCAAGGCAGGGTGGCCCGAAAAAGAAAAACTTTCACCATCATTCACTCCATCACTGTCTTGCCAGAAGGGTGCTTTACACTACAGTTTTTAAACTGCAACATTAACACCCCTCCTTCAGAGTGCAGGCACTGTACTTCCCATCTCCGGACTAAATTTGGGCCCCTGCGGGTTTTCCCCTGAACCCCTTCATAAATTTTAAATTTTTCTCCACCCCAACAGCCTCAAGTATTAAAAACCATTTGTCTCCATTCACCCTATAAAACCCCCTCACGCTCCCTGCTGGAATCCAACCCCTCGCACAAAAAAAACCTTTTTTTCCCCCCCCTCTCTCCACCCTTTCCTGGCCGACCCCTACCCCCCCTTCCTTCCATACAGACGATACACTCTTGAAGTCATTTTTTTTCGCTCCATTCTTCTACATGTCCAACCCTCAAAACCCATATAAAGGTTGGTAAAACTTACAGTCCTCAACTTTCCCCCCTCTTTGCCCCCAAGGAAAAGTTCTTTGTCTCCACAGACCCTAAGTGCACCCCACTCTTTTCCCCTCATCAATTCTTGTTCACCTCATTTTTATAGACCCATCTGCTGACATCCACCCCAAAATATCTAATACATTCACCTCCCGATCCCCTCTCCCCTCCAATCTAATTCAATTTCTTTCACCTAATCTTTTTACCTCAAAACCCTACTTTTTCCTGTATTCACCTTTAAATTTTTCTTTTTTGCACACCCAAAACCAAATTTTCATCCCCCAAACCTGAAACTTCTTTTCGAATCCCCCAAGAGCACAGTGCCCATCAGAAAAGGCAGCTGTGCAACTCCCACTTTGTGTGTGATTCTTTTTCTTTTAACTCCCGCCTCTTGTCAAGACCCTCGCTTTATTCTCTTACAACCCCCCCTATAAATATATTAAACAACCCCGGTGACATCACACTCCTTGTCTAAGGGGCCCACTTTTACTGGGGGAAAAAATTTTTCCCCCTTTTTCCCACATACCTCTTGAGCCTCACTACCCCGTAAAAACTCTTCACTGCTTTCAGTAACCAAAATCCTACACCTCACTTGCAACATCTGCCACATTCCCCCCTTCCACCCTTCAAAACGCCCTTTTCCAAATCCCTAAATGCCCCAAAAACCTCTTTGCCTTTTCTAAATACTGTTTTACTTTTGTTTTACTGTAAACACCCGGTCCACACACCCCCTACCTTTCCCAAAACCCCCTTTTTCATCTGCTATCCCATTCTCTGTCTTACTCTTAATTCTTTCATAATAACTCTACCATACACTTTTACCAGGTATACTCAACAGACTTATCCCTCTATAATTTTTGCACTCTCTTTTGTCCCCTTTGCCTTTATACAAAGGAACTATGCATGCTCTCTGCCAATCCCTAGGTACCTTACCCTCTTCCATACATTTATTAAATAATAGCACCAACCACTCCAAAACTATATCCCCACCTGCTTTTAACATTTCTATCTTTATCCCATCATTCCCAGCTGCCTTACCCCCTTTCATTTCACCTACTGCCTCACGAACTTCCCCCACACTCACAACTGGCTCTTCCTCACTCCTACAAGATGTTATTCCTCCTTGCCCTATACATGAAATCACAGTTTCCCTATCTTCATCAACATTTAACAATTCCTCAAAATATTCCCTCCATCTTCCCAATACCTCTAACTCTCCATTTAATAACTCTCCCTCTCCTATTTTTAACTGACAAATCCATTTGTTCTCTAGGCTTCCTTAACTTGTTAATCTCACTCCAAAACTTTTTCTTATTTTCAACAAAATTTGTTGATAACATCTCACCTACTCTCTCATTTGCTCTCTTTTTACATTGCTTCACCACTCTCTTAACCTCTCTCTTTTTCTCCATATACTTTTCCCTCCTTGCATCACTTCTACTTTGTAAAAACTTCTCATATGCTAACTTTTTCTCCCTTACTACTCTCTTTAAACATCATCATTCCACCAATCGCTCCTCTTCCCTCCCGCACCCACTTTCCTGTAACCACAAACTTCTGCTGAACACTCTTAACACTACATTTTTAAGCCTACTCCATACCTTTTCGACCCCATTGCCTATGCTCTCATTAGCCCATCTATCCTCCAATAGCTGTTTATATCTTACCCTAACTGCCTCCTCTTTTAGTTTATAAACCTTCACCTCTCTCTTCCCTGATGCTTCTATTCTCCTTGTATCCCATCTACCTTTTACTCTCAATGTAGCTACAACTAAAAAGTGATCTGATATATCTTTGGCCCCTCTATAAACATGTACATCCTGAAGTCTACTCAACAGTCTTTTATCTGCCAATACATAATCCAACAAACTACTGTCATTTTGCCCTACATCATGTCTTGTATACTTATTTATCCTCTTTTTCTTAAAATATGTATTACCTATAACTAAACCCCTTTCTATAGAAAGTTCAACCAAAGGGCTCCCATTATCATTTACCCCTGGCACCCCAAACTTACCTACCACACCCTCTCTAAAAGTTTCTCCTACTTTAGCATTCAGGACCCCTACTACAATTACTCTCTCACTTGGTTCAAAGGTTCCTATACATTCAATTAACATCTCCCAAAATCTCTCTCTCTCTCCTCTTCATTCTTCTCTTCTCCAGGTGCATACACGCTTATTATGACCCACTTTTCGCATCCAACCTTTACTTTAATCCACATAATCCTTGAATTTACACATTCATATTCTCTTTTCTCCTTCCATAACTGATCCTTCAACATTATTGCTACCCCTTCCTTAGCTCTAACTCTCTCAGATATTCCAGATTTAATCCCATTTATTCCCCCCACTGAAACTCCCCTACCTCCTTCAGCTTTGTTTCGCTTAGGACCAGGACATCCATGTTCTTTTCATTCATAACATCAGCAATCATCTGTTTCTTGTCATCCGCACTACATCCACGCACATTCAAGCATCCCAGTTTTATAAAGTTTTTCTTCTTCTCTTTTTTAGTAAATGTTTACAGGAGAAGGGGTTACTAGCCCATTGCTCCCAGCATTTTAGTCGCCTCATACGACACGCATGGCTTACGGAGGAAAGATTCTTTTCCACTTCCCCATGGACAATAGAAGAAATAAAGAAGAACAAGAGCTATTTAGAAAAAGGAGAAAAACCTAGATGTATGTATATATATATATGCATGTGTGTGTCTGTGAACTGTGACCAAAGTGTAAGTAGGAGTAGCAAGATATCCCTGTTATCTAGCGTGTTTATGAGACAGAAAAAGACACCAGTAATCCTACCATCATGCAAAACAGTTACAGGTTTCTGTTTCACAGTCATCTGGCAGGACGGTAGTACTTCCCTGGGTGGTTGCTGTCTACCAACCTACTACTATTATTAATACATATGTATTATAATATTATTATTATTATTATTATTATTGTTATTATTATTATTATTATTATTATTATTATTATTATTGATTTAGGGAACTGGAGCACAGATCCAATTCCCTAGATCAAGAGCCTATTACCACGTACATACTACTAATAATAATAATTATTATATAATAATAATAATACAGTATAATAGTAATAATAATAATAGTAATAATAATAACAGTAAGGAGAAGCTTCAAAAGGCTGCCAGAAGTTGGCACCACCATCAGCAAAACATTGGTAATCACTACTAGTACACTTTTCACCTGTCTAGACTTAAGTATAGTCTATTAGTATTAGGTTAAGTCTGCCTGAAATGCCTTGGCATGATAGTGGCTTTCTTTGCTCCAGTCATATTATGATATGTAAACACACGTTGTAACCTTTGCAAAGAAATAAATATTTTATTTATTTGATTATTTAAGGAACCTCCCTTGAGGGGGAAGTTCGCATCCTGAAATTTCGTTCGTATCCAGAAGCAAAAAATTAACTGAACGATGGTTCGTATCCTGAAAAATTTGCATGGTGGGGAGTTCGTAAACCAAGGTTCCACTCTATTGTGAGGCATTGTAATGGAAGCAGTTTGCTTGATTATTTGGTAACATAGTAAATAAAAGGCTTTCCATATCCATATAGTACCATCAAGTGGTTTACAATAACAGCACTTCCTGCCCTCCCATTCTCACATTGAAGGAAGCCATTAGAATAAATAGTCTGTGTTATATTATTCTTTGCCTTAAGGCCATGTGTGTTCCAGAGCACTTGAGTTTAGAAAGCTATTGGGGTTGAGGATTTCACGTGATTAATTTTTCAGGAGGGTAGGTAGGCAGTGTGATATCAAAAGCCATTATCTACCAGGGTGGCAGGAAATGCTGTTGTTTCCTAACATGATATAGATCATGTAGTCCAAACATGTTTATGTGTGTGGCTGTTATTTGAATCCATCTTGATTTATTTATCCCATGAATTATATGTTGTAATAATTCTCTAGAGGCAACATTGTTTTGATTACCATGCATCAGTTTTTGCATGCTGCATGACAGTCCAAAATTTGGTGAATTAAATAGGAGTTTAGTATTGTGTAGATGGACAGCTTTATTATAAGTGATATTTTAGAACATTGTGAATGGCCCTGCTAAGCTGTCAAATAAGATAATAAGCATCATTATATTTGTACTGTATATTTAAGGAGAGCAGAGTGCTGAACCTCCTCTTCAAGACCCCCATTGGTCTAGCTGCAGGGTTTGACAAGAATGGTGAAGCTGTAGAGGGTCTGTTCAAAATGGGCTTCAGTTTTGTGGAAGTGGGTTCAGTGACTCCACTACCCCAGCCAGGCAATCCCAAGCCACGTGTCTTCCGACTGAAAGAGGACTTGGCTATCATTAACAGGTTATAGTACAATTGTGATTTACTGTATTGTGCTGAAGAATTGAAGTTACAATAGTAATTGGAATAATTCCCATGGTAGAGAAACATTTAGATTACATTATGGTCCATCCTGGACCATTATTAAGTCACACCTGATAATTCCACACCTTACCTGACCTTTCACTCTAACACATCATCCACATACCTAATCACTTAGTCACCTGCCACCCTCATTACTGCTTACACCACCAACTGCACGGACCCACCCAGTTACCCATCATCTAATCACCATCCACACCAGGCCACTGACAACCACACTTTTCACCCACACCACTCCCTCGCAGCTTCAAGCCCACATGGCCCCTCTCTCACACCTTACCCATACTTTCACTCACACCACTTCCCTACAGCTTCTAGCCCACACAGTCCCACTCCCAGAGCCTCACACGCACACCAGGCTACCAACAGCCACATGTTTTACCCACACCACTTTCCCAAGCTTCTAGCCTAGACAGCCCCACTCCCACAGCCCCCCCCCACCCCCACCCCCCTGTTACCCATGCTAACATGCCATCCACACACCTAGTCACATAGCCACCCCCCACCTTAATTACTGCCCACACCAACTACACACACTCCCATCATACACACCACCACCCACACCAGGCCACCAACAGTCACCCACACGGTCACCATCACGGTCACCATCACTCAGCCACATTGCTTCCAGCCTTCACCCCTCTGCCATCTAGCATCCTCCACTTTCTAACACCAGCCTCCAGCTCCTGCCCCAACCCCTCCACCATTCAGTCTCCACCTCCCACAACAACAGTTCCCCAGTTACTACCTCTTTGTCCTCCACCCCCACACTGAACCCACTCACTCCAACTGCTCTAAGCCCTCCTGTGAATACTCCAACCACTCCTTTATATGCATCATGCAGTTGCAGTGAGTTGGACATCCAAACAGTATGATACTACCTCTGTCTACTAGCAGATATGTGGTTGCAGGATCTTTGACTGATGCACATCACATCGATCATAATACTATATATATATAATTATATTATATTTTTATATATATATATATTACTATATATATATATATATATATATATATATATATTATATATATATATATATATATATATATATATATATTATATATATATATATATATATTTTTTTTTGTGGGGGGGAGGGGGGTTGCTGTCTTAGGAATGTAACTCTCTTTTTCCCACATGTTCTCCAGTTCACTTTACATGCACTTTTTATTACATACTGTTTTCAGGGCTGTAAATTCCATGTTATCTGACAGTCAACTGTAATAAAAAAATTAACATTCTTTAGGGAAAATTGAGCATTTAGTGAAAAACATTAAATTAAAATTTAATGTTACAATGAAACTTAACTTCAAGAGAATTAATAGGGCAAGTATGGAGGTAATGTAATAATGGTTGTTGATATGAATAAAATTACAAAAATAGGAACATGGTGTGATTTATAACTTTAAGGAGTTACATTAGACTTTTTGTCAGGGTTCAGTTTCCTGATGTAATACAGTACAGTTTAGGATTTTGGACATATAAATATATGTTTTTTTTTTTATTTTTTTATTTTTTTACATGTTGGTCATCTCCCACTGAAGCAGGGTAACCCAAAAAAGAAACACTAACCATCATTCATCACTTTCACCATCATTCACACAGGTGCTTAGATATGACAGTTTAGATGTCACTCCAAACAGCCAATATCCCAAATGCCTCCTTCAAAGTGCAGGCATTATACTTCCCATTTCCAGAACTCAAGTCCAGCTAACTGGTTTCCTTGAATCCCTTCACAAAATATTACCCTGCTCACACTTCAGCAGCTCGTCAGGTCGCAAAAACCATTTGTCTCCATTCACTCCTATCTGACACACTCACACATGCCTGCTGCATGTCCAGGACCCTTGTACACAAAACCTCTTTAACCCCTTCCCTCCATCCTTTCCTAGGATGACCCCTACCCCTCCTCCCCTCCACTACAGATTTATACACCCTCCAAGTCATTCTGTTTTGCTCCATCCTCTCTAAATGACCAAAGTACCTCAATAACCCGTCGTCTGCCCTTTGAATAATACTTTTTGTAACTTCACACCTCTTCCTAATTTCCACACTACAAATTCTCTGCATTATATTTGCACCACACATTGCCCTTAGACATGACATCTCCACTGCCTCTAGCCTCCTCCTCGCTACAGCATTCACAACCCATGCTTTACACCCATATAAGAGTGTTGGTACCACTATACTCTCATACATTCCTTTCTTTGCCTCCATGGATAATGTTTTTTGTCTCCACAACACCCCAATGCACCACTCTCCTTTTTTCCTTCATCAATTCTGCAGTTAAGATCGTCCTTCATAAACCCGTCTGCAGACAAATCTACCCTCAAATATATGAACACATTTACTTTTTCCATACTCCCACCCTCCAGTATGATACCTGGAGAGGGTTTCAGGGGTCAGTGCCCCTGTGGCTCAGTCTGAGACCAGGTCTTGTGGTGGATCTGGGTGTGATCAACCAGGCTGTTATTGCTGGTCACACGCAAACTGTACAACTATGATATAGTTACTATCCTACTGTACAACTATGATATAATCCTTAGTGTTAAGTAGTCTGTAAGCCAATAATGTTAAGTTGGCCCATAATGCCTAGGCATAATAGAGGCTCTCTTTGCATTGCAACCCACTATTGTAAATACAAAATCTCAATGTACTGTTTGCAAAGACATAAAATAAGTAAATAAGTACGAACCACAACCCAACTGATAAGGTACTGACTTCAGGTGCCTTTCCAGTGCCTTCTTGAAGACAGCCAGGGGTCTATTGGTAATCCCCCTTGTGTGTGCTGGGAGGCAGTTGAACAATCTTGGACCCCTGACACTTAGTGTGTTGTCTCAGTGTCCTTGTGGCACTCCTGCTTTTCATTGGGGGAATGTTGCATCTCCTGCCTAGTTTTGTTATTTCACTGGGAGTGATTTTCGTGTGCAAGTTTGGTACCAGTGCCTCTAGGATTTTCCAAGTGTACATTATCATGTATCTTTCTTGCCTGCATTCCAGAGAAATAAAATCAAGGGAGTTCAACCATTCCCAGTAATTTAGGTGCTTTATCATACTTATATGTGCTGTGAAAGTTCTTTTTACACTCTCCAGGTCAGCAATTTCACCTGTCTTGAAGGGGACAGTTAGTGTACAGTAGTATTCCCGCCTAGAGTGAACAAGTGATTTGAAGAGAATTATCATGGGCTTGGTGTCCCTAGTTTTGAAGGTTCTCATTATCCATCCTATCATTTTTCTAGCAGATATGGTGGATACATTGTTGTGGTCTTTGAAGGTGAGATCCACTGATATTATCATTCCCAGGTCCTTCACATTACTTTTTTACTCTGTTGTATGGTTAGAATTTGCTGTATACCCTGTTACAGTTTTAATTTCCTCAAGTTTTCCATATCTGAGTAGTTGAAATTTTTCTTCATTGAACTTCATATTGTTTTTAGTGGCTCATTTGAAGATTTGGTTGATATCTGCTTGGAGTCTTGCGGTGTCTTCGATGGAGGATACTGTCATAGCATTTCGGGTGTCATCTGCAAAGGAAGACACGGAGCTCTGGCTTACATCTCTGTCTCTGTCAGATACGAGGATGAGGAATAGGATGGGCAAAAGTACTCTGCTTTGTGGAACAGTACTTTTGACCATAGTTGCCTCAGACTTTACTGTTTACTATTACTCTCTGTGTTCTATTAGGAAGTTATAGATCCGTCATCCAACTTTTCTTGTTATTCCTTTATCATGCATTTTGTGTGCTATTACACCATGGTCACACATGTCGAAGGCTTTTGCAAAGTCTGTGAATACTACATCTGCATTTTGTTTATCCTCTATATTATCCAGGACCTTGTCATAGTGGTCCAGTAGTTGGGACAGGCAGGAGCAACCTGCTCTAAACCCGTGTTGCCCTGGGTTGTGTAATTGATGAGTATCTAGGTGGTTGGTGATCTTACTCCTTAGAACCCTTTCAAAGATTTTTATGATATGGGATGTTAGTGCTATTGGTCTGTAGTTCTTTGCAGTTGCTTTGCTGCCACCTTTGTAGAGTGGGGCTATATCTGTTGTTTTTAGCGAGTGTGGGATGATGCCTGTGTCTATGCTCCCTCTCCATAGAATGTTGAAGGCACATGACAGGGGCTTCTTGCAGTTCTTGATGAACACAGAGTGCAATGAGTCTGGCCCTGGGGTAGTGTGCATAGGCACGTCATTTATTGCCTTTCCAGTTTTGTGGTGTTAAGATAATATCAAAGATTTTTGAGATGACCAAATTTTGGGTCTTGGTCTTAAAGAATTCATTTAGCCTGGTTAATGGCTTGCTGAAAACTGAGTCATATTGGGACTTTAGTATCTCACTCATTTCTTTGCCGTCATCTGTGTAGGTCCCATCTCGCCTAAGCAGGGGCTCAGTACTTGATGTTAACAACCTTTAGATTTGGCATGATATCCAATTTTTCTTTACCAAACTAATTTGATACCCTCATCACCTTACTCTTATCTATGTTCACTTTCAGCTTTCTTTACACACCCTCCCAAACTTGTCCACTAACCTTTGCAGCTTCTCTTTAGAATCTTCCAAAAGCACAGTATCATTAGCAAAAAGTAGCTGTGACAACTTCCATTTTGTATTTGATTTCCCATAATTTAATCCCACCCCTCTCCCCAACACCCTAGCATTTACTTCTTTTACAACTCCATCTATAAATATGTTAAACAGCCATGGTGACATTACATACCCCTGTCTAAGGTCTACTTTTACTGGGAAGTAATCTCCCTCTCTCCTACACACCATAACCTGAGCTTCACTATCCTCATAAAAACTCTCTACAGCATTTAGTAACTTACTACCTATTCCATACATTTGCAACATCTGCCACATTGCTCCCATATCCACCCTATTATATGCCTTTTCTAAATCCATAAATGCAATGAAAACATCCCTATCTTTAAATGTTGTTCATTTGTATACTTCAAAGTAAACACTTGATCTACACATCCTCTACCCATTCTAAAGCCTCCTTGTTCATCTGCAGTCCTGTTCTCTGTCTTATCTCTAATTCTTTCAATTATTATATTAGTATAATCATGAGAGAATGCTAAACCCGTAGGATTATACAGCGCATATAGGGGGGGGGGGGATGGAAGGTATTCAGGCTCGATTCAGGGAACCGGAGCACAGATCAAGAGCCCCTCACCAGTAAACTTGTTTCCCTATAATTTTTACAATCTCTTTTGTCCCCTTTCCCATATATAAAGGAATTGTACATATTCTGCCAGTCCCTAGGTACCATCTCCTCTTTCAAACATCTATTGAACAAAAGTACCAACCACTCCAACACTATATTCCCCCCCCTCCCTACTTTTAACATTTCTCTCATGATCCCATCAGTTCCAGCTGCTGTACCTTCATTCATTCTACCTAATGCCTTGCGCACCTCCCCCACACTCACATCTGGCTCTTTTTCATTCCTAAAAGATGTTATACCTCCTTGGCCAGTGTATGAAATTACTACCTCCCTCTCTTCATCAACATTTAACAGTTCCTCAAAATACATATTCCCGCCATCTTCCCAATACCTCCAACTCCCTATCTACTAACTCCCCTATTCTGTTTTTAACTGTCAGATCCATTGTTCCATGAGCTTTCTTAACCTATTTATCTCACTCCAATTTTTTTCTTATTCTCAGCAAATTTGTTTACAGTGCCTAACCCACTCTATCATTTGCTCTCCTTTTGCACTCCCTCACCACTTTCATCACATTTCTCTTACTTCCTATATACTCCACCCTTTTCCTAACACTTCGGTAAAAATCTGTCATACATGACATTTTCTGTTTTATCACACCCTTTACCTCATTATTTCACCAATCACTCCATGCTTTCACCAATCACTATATGTATTGTTATTATTTCCCTTCAGATATGGTTTCAACAGTGACGGTCATGAAGCTGTGTATGAACGCTTATCACAGTTACCTCCTCCAGGACACCGAAAAGCAGTACTGGGGGTCAACCTTGGCAAAAATAAGAATTCGGTAGATCATGTGCAAGATTTTATACTTGGAGTGAAGAAGTTTGGTCCAGTTGCAGATTACTTAGTGATCAACATTTCCAGGTAACAAACTGATAACAATATCAAAATTTAGTTAATGTGATGTATGGTATTCAAAAATTTTCAGTACCTAATTTTTGTGGCTCAGAACAATTAGTGAGTAGAGTACAGGGCCTTGAGCATCCAGCAGATTTGCATAAGCAAGTTAGGAGTGAACGGAGATAAGTGATTTTTAATCGCACCTCCAGAACTTTTAGTCCCTGAATCCCTATATAAAAGTTGCCTTGTTCACACTCCAGCACTGCAGCCTTTAAAAACCACTTGTCTCCAGCCATTATATTTTGCTTATGGTATATTTTTTTAGATTAGTAACTAAGTTTGTGTGCATATTGAAATAAATTTTCCATTAATTTAATCTTCCGTCATTGTCTTTGGTTAGTTCTAATGTTATCTGGTATGCTTTAATGACCCTTTTAATGCAGTAAATTCCAGTTTAAGGGTAACATGAAATTATGGTAGCATTAAATTTGATAATTTCTTTGGGAGGTCTACTGGTATGTTCAGTAGAACCCCAAGTTTCGGCTGCCCTGAATATTGACCGCTTCAAGTTTTGACCACTTTTTTTCGGCTAAATTTTGTCCCGAGTTTTGGCCTGTGCCCTGTGCTTCAGCCGCGTACCAGACCTGTCTGCCTGCCCGTGCCTACGTGGCAGGCGCCGTGAGCCAGTCTAGCTTTGTTTATCCTTGAATGAACATTACCCTGCTCGCTCATCCAAACATTTCACAATAAATTCATTGTGTTTACTGTTTGTTTATTGCTTGTGACTCTTACATAAGCCACCATGAGGAATTTGCTTTAGAGGAGGAGGAAGAGGGAGTGAAGGAGGTGCCTTCTTCAGTGATTAAGGACATGTGTGGATTGTGGAATAAGTTGCAAAGTTTTGTGGAAAAATGCCACCCTGAGCAAGCTGAAACAGGCCATCTCTGCAACATGTTCAGTGACAAAACAATGTCCCATTTTAGGCAAATCTCAAGGGGCATGTACTACGTTAGCACCTGAACTTTTTTATTTTTCGTTCGATTTCTTTCATTTTTTTTTTTGTACGTAAAGAAGCACCTTTCAATAGTAATGTGCCAAGTTTCAATAAGATAGCTCAAAAAACAACTGAGAAATAAATTATTTACTAATAATCATACATATTGAACAGTATTTTCGTAATGGGACTTGGAGAAGCTGTTTTGGCATTATCTACGCATAAAACAATGCTAAACTGTATTTCAAATGGCCATCCGAACTGTAATATATCCTTTCTTCATTCTTAAAAAAAATAAAGTTTGTATGGTTTTGAAATTCAGCCAAATATCTGACCTTTGCCCTCACAAAAATCAAAAACAAATTATGATATCTCAAAAAGCTGTCCATTTCGTTGTAAAACAATTTTTCCTTTATGTTCTCTGTGAATTTCACTGCATTCCTGCTATTATTAACGAAAACACTGGCTTATATATGTGAATAACTTACTTCCGAGATAATCCGCGAAACAGCTGGACCACCGATTTTTTTTTTTTTTTGAGAAAATAGCATTTTTCTCAGCATTACGAGTGTATATCATAGTTACCCCATGTTCGTTTTCTTTAATATAAGGACCCTGGAGGTGAAAAAAGGAGAATGGAAGCCCATCCCTGACTATGGAAATATTATATTCCAGAGGGAGCGCTGGAAGTATATGCCATATATTATTCATTCTGGAGTATTTACCATATTTGTTTGTTATTTATATTGTTTATTATGTCATATTAGATCAATTGTGATAGATAAATAAGCCGTAGAAGCTATAATTACGTTATATTGAAGCATATTCCCCGGCCACCCCGAGACTGGAATTTTCCATGACGTCAGCAAAATGGTGCCAGAAGGTTCCTGATTGGCTGGAAGTCTATGGATAAGTCCCACCCACTGTATTATGATGCCAAATCGTCAATTATTATCTTAGAAAGAATAATACAATAAGTACACGAAAAAAAAAGGGAAAAAAAAATTAAAATTGACGACAGGTGAGCACACCTGCCGTGGGTGGTGACGTCACCCTAGGTGTTTTAAATGACCATAATTCCTTGTAGGAATGTCATAGAACAATGATTCTGGTACCATTGTGTTGCCAGAGAGTTAAGCTATTTTTCTATAAGATTAACTCAATTTGTGAATTTTTCGACAAAATTTTTCGTTCGCGCTGAGTAATCTCTACTTACCCTGTTTTGGCCTAAATTTTTTACTTTTTTATTTGTTGACCAATTACGTTCATATTTTGTGTACTATTAGAAGCTTATATTGACCATGCTTTAATGAAGTTTCAGAAAGATTGGCCAAAAAACAAATGAAAAAAGCAAAATATACTAAAAATTACATTTGGCAGCAGACCCCTGTGAAGTGGTACTTGGAAAAGTGGTTTTGACACTTGCTGCTGATAGAACACTTCTAATTCCATCATTGCTCGATTACCAGTTCTATAATGAACCTTATCTTCATTCTAAAAAAAATAAAGTTTATAAGTTTTTTGACATTTAGGAGGATATCAGCCTTGTTGCCCACACAAATCTGAAAATATTTGGGATACTCAAAAAGGTACATTTCATCTTGTAAAACAATCATTCTTTTATGTTTTTTGTGAAAATAGGTGAATAACTTACTTCCAAGATAATGGCCGTTACGTGCGGCTGCCCAGGTACGAGGGAAATATTTTTTCTGCCCAAAAAATTTGCTTTCTTTACACTTTTTCCGTAACCTACGAGTGTTTATTACGGTTAGCCAGCGTCAGCCTCCGTTTTCTCTCATCATAGTGACTAGATACTGGGTAGTATAATGGCCTTGAGACAGCTTGGTCCATCAAGTTCCTTTCCTCTCAGGCGTCAAATTATGCTATATATTATTTGTTCTGGCGTACTTTTTATGTTTCTGTGCTATTATTATATCACCTTATGTCATACTAGATCAATTGTGATAGATAAATAAGCCTTATAATTGATATTAGTATGAGTATAGAACATTTTGTGTGTCCACCATGTCAGCACTTATTCCCAGGGGATGTTCCTGATTGGTTCCCAGACCATAGTAGCTCCGCCCACTCCATTATGATCTCAGATGGTGAATTTGTATTATATTAGATGTAAAGATATGTATAAGAAATTGATAAAAAAAATACGGAAAAAAAATAAAAGGCTGTGTTAGCATGCATGCTATGCATGGTGCTGTCACCATGCATGTTATAAGTGACTATAATTTCTTGTAGAAACATCGTATAATGATGATAATTATACCAGAGTGTTGCCAGAAAGTTCAGCTATTTTTTGGTAAGAATAACTCAATTTTCGTATTTTTTTTTATTTTTTTTTTTTACTCCACGCGCCACGAACACAGAATTCACTTTTTCAAGGCAAATGTTCGGATCCATGTTTTTTAGGATATCTTCCCAGCTTGTTTCATTTAGGACATGGTTTACTTGATCCCACTATGTTTTTGTTATTGAAATTGAATTTCGTGAAGAGACCTTCATGACTATTCACATTTTGCTGGTCTGGAGCCCTGTGCATACATGTCTGTACCTCTGTTATGTTGTTATCTGAGTGTATTGTCTTTGATACAGTTATATTACGTATCAGATCATCATTCTTAGTGAAGATGAGGTCCAGCTTATATTCCAGTCTTGTAGGCTCTACTATTTGCTGGTTTAAGGTGAACTTAGTGCAGAGATTTAATAGTTCGTGTGTGTGTGAATTTTCATCTGAATTGCCTCCCGGGGTAATCTTTGCTAAAACATTGTTTGCTATACTCCTCCATTTTAGGTGTCTCAAGTTGAAATCTCCTAGTAGTAAGATGTTTTGGGCAGGAGTTGGGAGATTTTCCAGACAGTGGTCAGTTTTCTCAAGCTGCTCCTGGAATTGCATCTGGAGGCTTGTATACTACCACAATGACAAGGTTTTGGTTTTCAGTCTTTACTGCCAAAACTTCAACTACATCATTTGAGGTGTTTAGTAGTTCTGTGCAAATGAATAACTCTGTGACATACAGGCCAAACCCCCCTTGTTGCCTGTTTAGTTTGTCGCATCAGAATAGGTCATAACCTGGGATCCATATTTCGTCATCATAATGATCCTTTATGTGGGTCTCTGTGAATGCTGCAAACATTGCATTTGACTCCATGAGCAGTCCCTTGATGTAAGGAATTTTGGTGTTTTTTGACAGCTTTAGACCCTGTATGGTTGCAAAGACAAATGTCGTATTGGTGGAATTTAGGGGGCTTTTATTTGCTGGCTCTAATATCTTTTGTTCTGGAGTAGAGGCCAATGTCTGTGCCTCTGCTCCAGAAGTGTTTTCAGGTGGTATAGGATTATTGTCATTTCTTGCCAGTCTTTTTTCCCTCCTGGGCCTAAAAATCCTCTGTTCCTGGAGAGGTTGTGGCTCCTCTCTTTTGTTTCCCATAGTCTGGCTGGTCTGTGTCTCCTAGTTCCCTTTAGGTGATGTGCCTGGCAGTATGCATTGTAGCATTTTCTTTCATGGATTGATGAGTGACACATTTCTGGGTGAAATAAGTTACAGGAGGGGAAGTTGCAGTCTCCTGTTGTCATGTCGGTGTGGCATTTTTTGGGATGGTCAAAGGTGCATGTCCCACCTGTTTTACCAGATATACCATGCCTGCAGATACCCAAGGCATAGTATTTACATATATTATAATTCTGTTTCATAGGATTTATTGTAGCTGCATTTGCTGGTGGTGCATTTATTTTTCCTGTTTCCTCCCTATCTTTCACCCCTGTATGGACATCAGTGCTTCCACCAGGTTTTGCTGGTAGTGAGTTGACACTGTTTCCTGAGGCATCATCCCCTTTTGGTCCATCTCCAGTTGTATCTCTGTTTTGAACCTCTGTGGAGGTTCAAAACAGAGATCTTCACAGAGGTCTTCACTGCCCTCCAGAACAACACTAGTAACCTCACGAGCACTGTCTTCCAGGACATCACTAGAACCCTCTGGGGCACTTTCTTCCAGGACAGCACTAGCACCCTCAGGAGCACTGTCCTCCAGGACTACACTAGCACCCTCAGCACTGTCCTCCAGGACAGCACTAGCACCCTCAGGAGCACTGTCCAAGACAGCCCCGTCCCTACCACCCATCATATTTTCCCAGCTGTCATACCATACTGACATGTCTTTCAAGAAGGATCTTTTATTGGTATTCTTGTCTTTTAATATAGATGTCATTTCCTCATACAGGTGTACAGTGGTCCCTCAGTTATCATCCTTAATCCGTTCCTGAAAGTGGGACTATTATCGAAATAGACGATTTTCGAATCAATTTTCCCCATAAGAAATAATGTATATCCAATTAATTCATTCCAGACACCCAGAAGTATCAACAACAATTTTTTTTTACCTAAAAGATAGATTTACATGCACAAAAGAATGAACATTCAACATGACAGTTACCTTTATTGAAGGCTGTTGTTGATGAATGGAAGACAGGGAGGAGGAGAGAGGGAAGAGAGGTTATTGTTAGGAAGGGGAATCCCTCTCCATAAGGACTCTAGGTCACTTCAGGGGTCACTTCCCTAGCATAAATATAGATTTACATGCAGAAAAGAATGCCAAATAAATGTAAAGCACTAATAAAATGTATAAATGAACATTGGTAATAGGGGTAGTTGATGAGTGGAACGGTCTGCCTAGTAGGGTGATCGAAGCTAAAACATTGGGTAGTTTCAAATTTAGGTTGGATAAATACGTGAGTGAGAGGGATTGGATTTGAGTCAGACTTGCACCTGAGCTTATTGCTTGGGTAGCATTTGTTCTGTTAGTGGGTTGGATTTGTGAAGGACCGGCCTAGTATGGGGCCAGCAGGCCTGTTGCAGTGTTCCTCCTTTCTTATGTTCTTATTGAAGACTTGTTTGTGTGAGGGAGGGATGGCAAGTTTATTGTTGGAGAATATGACACTAATATCAACTATGGCTTATTTATCTATCACAATTCAACTAATATAACATAATAAACAATATTAATAACATAGAAACATGGAATGTACTCTAGAATGAATAAAATAAGTCATTACGTATGTCACGAGAGGTGTTGTGTTGTTGTTGGGTGTATAAGGGTCACTGAGAGTAAGCCGTCCATAATGGTGGTGAAGCAGCAGCTGAGGCGGTGGTGTTTTCTGTAGCCCTATATAACTCCAACAGCATTGGAGGAGTTGGTAGAATCGCTGAATCACTAAAGAAGGCACCCTCTACCACCATCACTACCACCTTCTACCACTATCACTACCACCTTCTACCACAATTACAATTGCTACCACCATCACTACCACCTTCTATCACTATTACAACTGTTACCACCATCACTACTACCTTCTACCACCATCACTACCACCCTCTACCACCATCAACCACTATCACAACTGCTTCCACTCTACCACCACCATCTTTGTATTTTTCTACAAACTTTTTCATAAATTGTATGCGTTTCTCACATTCTTTACCAAAGGGCTGGCACTAGAAGCTTTCTTTGGAGCCATGGTAGCTTATTTAGCACTTGCAAGCACTAAAATCAATGGAATATTATGAAATATTTCATAGGAACAAGTGAGGGGACCATCGCTCACTGGTAAATAATGGCACACTGGCTGGGAAGGCAGGCCCAGGCGGCTCAGAGCGTGAGTACGCGTCCCGGACGAAGGGCAATTAGCGAGTTAACGGACCATTTGCGAGCCAATGTTTAGACGAAATAACGGGACTATTTCCGAAATGGACGACTTTCAGGCCGCACGATTATTGAGGGACCACTGTATTTCGTTTGGGCAGACCCAAAAACATCTCTGAGTTTATGTCAAGTGTGGTCACTGGTTTAAAATCCCTGCATATACCATGGGACCATTGACCACAGATATTGCAAGTACGATATTGCAAACAAAACCGTTTGATCCCAGATTTTTTTAATACTGCGCACACCGAATGTTAAGACCCATTCTATACTGACCGGGCATCTCAGGCCAATCGTGCCAAATTTTAAGGCAGGAAAAATGAAACGTAGATCAACATTTGGAGCGTTAGCGGTACAAACGTAGATTTACGTTTGGACAGTTTAAGGGTTAATGTTTGAATATGATATAAAAAACTTTTGAATAATGATATAAAAATGATATAAAAAACTTTTTTTCAGTCCCAACACACCAGGGCTAAGAAATTTACAACACAGAGAAGAATTAGGGAAGTTGGTGAGTGCAGTAGTGACAGCACGAGACAGTCTGTCAGGAACACACAAACCTCCACTACTACTGAAGATTGCACCTGATTTATCTGATGATGACAAAAAGGACATAGCTAGTGTCATCTTAAAAAATGAGGTATAAGTACTTTTTGTTATGATTTGTTTTTTAACATACTAACAGTCTCCCACCTAGGCAGGGCAATCAAAAAAAAAAAAACACTTTCACCATCATTCACACTATCACTGTCTATGCAGACACTCTCAGATACAACAGTTTAGATGTCACTCTAAACAGCAAATATCCCAAACCCCTCCTTTAAAGTGCAGGCATTGTACTTCCCACCTCTAGGACTTGTGTAAAAACAATACCCCAGTTAGTTAAATAAAATGAGAAAACACGTATTCCAATTACCAACAGTAAAACATGTTATATTCAGGTTTGTGGTGTACACACAAACCTTTGATATCCAGTAACTCATACTTTCAGCTGTTACTATGAAAACTGATCGATTGGTATGGAGGAGGCAGTCAGGTGAGGGACTGTTGTGGATCTAGGCTGCATCACACCAACTGTGATGTTTTGAATTTGTGTTAGCATTGTGACCTGGCAATAATGTCTGTGCCAAAAGTAATTTGTTCAAATTTTAGACTTCTACTGAATCTGAATCTGTGAAGACTATGATTAAACACAAAGTTCTCTGCCAAGAATACAGGAATTAAGTGAACTAATTAAACTAAAACTGGCCACTTCTGTGGGCATTTTATTTTTTTACATAAAGACCAGTATCATTTTATGCATTACACCATATCCTTCCTATATTTGTCACTGTTATTAGTGAAGTACAATACATACAATACAGCTTATATAACAAGAGGAAATACAATTGGAAGACAAATTTCCCGACTGTTGGAATCTCAGGCTTCGTGTCATACTTTAATACACTTTGTTACATTTTTTTTTTAAATGTGGTATATTAGTGTAGCAATGAATATATCTCAGATATAGTTGTATCTTTCCACTTACCAATTATGTCTCCAAAATTGTTGTTTACTTATTCCAGTGTGTACTCCCAGTAATTGTTTTTTCTATAACAATAATAAGGCCCATCACTGTGTAATCAAATTATAGTTGGAAATACAGGTGATCTAATTCTATAAAATTGTCAGTTATAATGCATTTTTTTAATCTCTACCTATGTAGAGCTCAAAAAGCTTAGGGAGAAAAGTTCTATATTTTATCATGCCCTCAAGGAAGGTTCCTTGATGCTGGTGAGGGGCTCTTGATCTAGGGAACTAGATGTGTGCTCCAGTTCCCTGAGTTAAACCTGAATACCTTCCATCCCTCCCCCAAGTACTGTATAATCCTATGGGTTTAGTGCTTCCCCCTTGATTATAATAATAATAATATATTTTATCATGCCTTGTACACTTTTTGTGACACACCTAACTTAGTATGAGAACATAAGAAAGAAGGAACACTGCAACAGGCCTACTGGCCCATGTGAGGCAGGTCCAATTCACTTGTTGGCTTATGCCACTGACCCAACCTAGTCAGGTCCAAGTTACATCCACTTAAGGAAGGAACACGGCATCAGACCTATTAGCATAAGCTAGTCAGATCCAACTCACACCCATCCACACCAACTCATGTATTTATCTTTTTAAAACTACACAATGTTTTGGCTTCTTTGACAGTACTTGGGAGTTCGTTCCACTCATCCATAACTCTGTTACCAAACCAGTTATATCCTTCCTGAATCTGAATTTTTCCAACTTGAAACCGTTGCTGCGAGTCCTGTTTTGGCTACATATTTTTAGCACACTATTTACATCCCCTTTATTTATTCCTGTTTTCCATTTATACACCTCAATCATATACCCCCTAAATCTACACCTTTCTAGAGAATGTATATTCAGGGCCCTCAGTCTATCCTCATAGGGAAGATTTCTGAAACATGGGATCAACTTTGTCATCCTCCTCTGTATGTTTTCCAGTGCATTGATATCCATTCTGTAATATGATGACCAGAACTGTGTAGCATAATCTAAATGAGACCTAACCAAAGATATATAGAGTTGAAGAACAGCCTGAGGATTTCTGTTATTTATGCTTCTTGATATGAAGCCAAAGATTCTGTTCGCTTTATTGCGAACACTTATGCACTGTTGTCTTGGTTTCAGATTACTGCTAACCAGAACTTCCAAATCCTTTTTGCAGTCAGTAATATTAAGATCTATATTATTTAGTTTATATGTAGCATGGTTATTTTCCTGTCCAATATTTAGAACCTTGCATTTGTCTATATTAACCCTTAAACTGTCCAAACATAGATCTATGTTTGCTCGCATAGCGCTCCGAATGTAGATCTACGTTCGATTTTACATGCCTTCTTATGTACAAAAATGTAGACTACGTTCAGAGTGCTTCGCGAGCAAACGTAGATCTACGTTTGGACAGTTTAAGGGTTAAACTGCATCTGACACTTCTATTGAAATCTTCATTGAGTGCTCTAATGTTCTGATTAGAATGAATTAGACAGCCTATTTTGGTGTCACCAGCAAATTTGCTTATGTTGCTATTTATTCCCTCATCTGTGTTGTTTATGTAAACTGTGAACAACAAAGGGCCCAACACTGACCCCTGTGGAACACCACTTGTGACATGTCCCCACTCTGATTTCTCCCCATTTATGCAAACTCTCTGCTGCCTATTTGTCAACCATGCCTCTACCCAGGAAAAAAATGATCCTATTCTGTATGCCTTAATTTTCCTCAGTAGCCTCTTATGTGGAACTTTATCAAAAGCCTTACTGAAGTCCATATACACAGTATCATATTCATTACCATGATCTACCTCCTCAAATACCTTAGTAAAAAAAGTTAGAAAATTCGTAATGAAGGAATGCCCCTTTGTAAAACCATGTTGAGATTCATTAATCAATTTATGCCTTTCAAGATGGCTACAAATTGTCTCGGCAATTATTGATTCCGTAAATTTTCCCACTATGGGGGTAAGGCTTATTGGTCTATAGTTTGAAGCTAAGGACCTGTCACCTGCTTTGTAAATAGGTATTACATTTGCCATTTTCCACTTGTCTGGCATTATGCCAATGTGTAGTGATATGTTGAAAAGCTTAGCCAAAGGTTTGCAAAATATCACCTGTTCCTGCAGTCTTCTGTTTTTACAGCAGAAAATGTTGTGGCCATTTGACCAGAAAACTAAATGTGGCCACTTGACCAGAAAACTAAATGATGTGGATATTTGACCAGAAAAGTAAATGATGTGGCCATTTGACCAGAAAACTGTTTTACTGTTTTTAGAGGATATGATGAGCTACAACCTGCCACAGGTTGTATATCTATACAGTGGTACCTCGGGATACGAACAGCTCAAAATGCAAACAATTATGTAAGTGTATTTATGTAAGTGCTTTTGTAAGTGTAGTTTTGGTGGTCTGAAACGGATTAATCTAATTTACATTATTCCTTATGGGAACAAATTCTTTCGGTATCAGCACTTGAACAGCCTTCTGGAACGAAATAAGTTCGTATCCCAAGGTACCACTGTACAGTGGACCCCCGAGTTTCGGCAGCCTCGACTTTCGCGAAATTTGACCTTCGGCGAGTTTTTTTGGAAAAAATTTGCCTCGAGTTTCGTGAAAAAACTCGTGTTTCGGCGACCGTCCGGCACCCGTCCGCCCGTCACTGTGCACACAAAGCCAGTCTCCCACGCCATTCAAGCTCAGTGTACCATTGTTTACCAACACGTGACCATCACCCCGCGGGTTCATACAATACATTTCATAATAATCCATTGTTTTTTGTGCTTGCAACTGCTAAATAAGTCATCATGGACCCAAGGAAAGTCTAGTGCAAGCCCTTTGGTAAATAAAGTGAGTGACGGGGATGTGGAAGAGTTGGTGGAGGACCACAGGGAAGAGCTAACCACTGACGAACTGCAAGAGCTTCAACTGGAACAGCATCAGACCACAGCCGAGGAACTTGCTTCAGAGGAGGAGGAAGAGGGAGTGGATGAGGTGCCTTCTTCAGTGATTAAGGACATGTTTGGAATGTGGAATGAGTTGCAAAGTTTTGTTGAAAAGTATCACCCTGACCAAGCTGAAACAAGCCGTATCTGCAACATGTACAATGACAGTGTTGTGTCCCACTTCAGGGAAATCTTAAAGAAACGCCAGAAAAAGACCTCTCTGGATAGATATTTTGTGCGCCAGGGGTCCAGTGACTCTCAAGTTGTTCCCAGTGGCATTAAAAGAAGGGAAGTAACCCCAGATAAGGACTTGCTACCTAAAGTCCTAATGGAAGGAGATTCTCCTTCCAAACAATAGTGTACACCCTCCTCCTATCACCTCCTCCCATCTTCCATCCACCCAGAAGTCTTCAGTAAAGGTAAGTGTAATGTTATTATTATTTGTTTTAAATGCATGTACTTGATTTCTGATTGTTTTCATTATGTAAATCTTTATTTAATTTGAAAAAAAAAAATTTATTTTAATATTTTTGGATGTCTGGAACGGATTAATTTTATTTCCATTATTTCTTATGGGGAAAATGGTTTTGAGTTTCGTGAATTTCGACCTTTGGCGGGCTCTCTGGAATGGATTAATCACAAAACTCAGGGGTCCACTGTCCTCTTATTCACATATCTATACTTTGCTTACTTTTGTACATAATGGTATTTTTGCATACTTTTTCACATTTTTCATGTAATTACTACTTCATATTTACTACATAATTGCTACTTCTACTCACACTTAGGTCACTTTGCACATGCATGTACACATTTATGTACATACATCATCCGAGTTTCCTTTGATTTTATCTTAATAGTTCTTGTTCTTATTGCTTTTCCTTTCATATCCATGGAGAAGTGAAATAAGAATCTTTCCTCCATAAGCCATGCATGTTGTAAAAGTCAACTACAGTGCCGGGAGCAATGGGCTAGTAACCCATTTTCCCGTAATGCTTACTAAAAAGAAAAAGAAGGGCAGAGTATATGGAGAGTAAAAAAAGGGTGAAGAGAGTGGTGAGAGAGTGCAAAAGGAAAGCAAATGATAGTGGGAGAGGCACTGTCAAGAAATTTTGCTTAGAAAAGGAAAAAAATTTTGGAGTAAGATC